AGCACTCAGCCAAAAAACAGCCTCTAGTTCCCCAGGAACACCCTTATCCAGGTGAACTTTCTGTACGAAATTGGGGCGGGGCGGGGGGCAAGGGGTGAAACGGCTACACCATTGCTTATCTTCTTTCCGAACACATTTGGGAAGTCATCGATTGATTACGCCATGTTACTGCCAGATGAGAGGACCCATATGACGTAGAACAGTGCGCTGCCCCATCTCTCCCCCTCCCACTGCCCCACCCCCTTTCCCACAACTATCCTTAGCTCGAAATTCCTGACGCTATGAAATACTGAACGGCTTGGGGGAGCTGCAACGCTTCTGCTACTTCCCATCGACCTCTCGAGCTATTAAGTGGAGATTTGCGAAATCTAGTGAAGCTATGAAGTAATACTAGTCAAAGCTCGAGATTGCTTTCAAATGTTGTCAATAATACCTGTCAACTCTTGTAAAACAATAGGCACGACGATGAGAAGCAGCGAAATTGCGGAATGCCCCCCCCGAGCCGAATTGCTCTTGACCAAGAATTGCAAAAAATAAGATGAGCCGTTATTTTACCAATATATTCAAGCGAATCGATTTCATCATGCCATGTACTGGTCGTGCTCATTGTCTGTTCCGTATCATCAAGACGAGATTCAGCTCGAGCCGGTGATGATTCGTCTTTTGAAGCTGCCACCTACGAGAAACGTCATTCATTGGCAATAATTCTTCATTGCATAGCATGAATATATTGAACAAACCTGTGAAGTTCCCTGGGACGATGACGCACCAATCCCTCCCGCGTCCATCGCTGCACGTAATGATGTGCACTCAGAAACGACCTGAAAAATGTATCGGCGTCAACGATAAAGTCGCAAAACTAAACCTGACGCAGTTCAGCGTTGGTGGGGGGGGGGAGGAGATTTTGCACTTTCGCTCTTCCCATCAACGTGTCAAGCCATCAAGTAGGGACTTGTAAACTCTTCGTAAAACAATGAACAGGTCGATGGGATGCAACAAAAGTGGAAATGCTCTCCCCAAGCCGAACTACTCCATAAACTTTTGAGATTTAGAGAACAAACCCTGTCGAAAAACGCTCGCTCCTCACGTGTCAACCCATCGTCATCTCGAAATCGTTGTTGTGAAACAAGCACGGCCAAATCGTCTACTTCGACTTCGCTCGTCGCGGGGGAAGTGCACGACGAAATCGTTTGAGCGTTCGATGCTTAAAAAACCATCAATGACTTTACATATGACGAAGTGGGCAAAAAGAGCCTAACCTGTTCGTTCTCGTGGCCCTCCTAGCACTGCCATATCAATAGTCATTTGGCGTGGTTGAAGGTGAAGCACAGAGGTCTTGTAGACAACCTGAACAAGATATTATTATAAAAATAAAATTAGTAATAATCGCCGTTTAGCTAATTAGTTATAGCTATCGTAATAGAACATGTGGTTTGACTAGCACGTTTATAACAACTCAGGCGCACGTCTAACTTGCATGAATCTCGCCTTTGTACCTACATTGATAAGTTTTAGCTAATGTATTCGAACCGTTAACTCGACA